GGGCGCGCAAGCCTGTTTCCGGGAAGAGGGGAAGGGCTGGGGGACATCGGGTGGCTGGCTCTGTGCCGTGCCAGGTGCAGGTGCTGCTAGCTGGGTGCTGGCAGGCTTGCACCTGGCACGGGCACCGTAGGCAGCACGTGCCTCTTTAAGGGGGCCGGGGCCAGGAGGGGGGCATACGAGTTTCCCTGGTGGTGCCCAGAGTGGCCACCAGGGAAAGCTGAGGAGGGCTAGCCTCCCACTAGTTTGAATTAAGGGGCTACACACCCCTTAATTCGAACTAGTAAGTTCGAAGTAGGCTTAGTCCTCATGCAATGAGGTTTACCTAGTTTGAACTAAGCGCTCCGCTAGTTCGAATTAAGTTCGAAGTAGCGGAGCGCTAGTGTAGCGCCTATCAAAGTTAATTCGAACTAACATCCGTTAGTTCGAATTAACTTTGTAGTGTAGACGTACCCCCAGAAAGGCTAGGTAGAGTAAACTCTCTACTATTACATCTCCTCAGTCTTCATCCCATTACTTATGCCCCAGAATGCATTATGAGAATCTGAAAACCCAAAAGCGAGCAGTAGCTGGTTTCTGGGTTTCACAAAAACAATGCTCCCCGGAATGCAAGTAACTGGGCAAGTCCAAGAGTATTGCTAACATTAGATACATGAGAGACAGGACTGAGATTACTGAATATCATCAAACCACTGCCATTCAGAGTTGATCAAAACAAACAGAAGACACCAAGTTGCCTCCTCCAAAAGTAACTGTAACCCAAAATTGGGGTTAGATGGGTCAGTGGGCAATCACAGACTCTCCATTCCCCAAATCCTATTTTCTCTGTAAATGTATTTAATGGCTAACCTCACCTCATTTGCTGCTTTTTCCAATAGTGATTTCTTATCACAGGATTTGAAAGATTCAAAAGTGTTGGTGTTATATAATGTTCCAACAGCAGGACAGCAGTGTGCTGGGGTGGCAGCATTCCTAGACAAAAGACAAGGACACTCTTGGAATCACATAGTAGCCTTTTTTGCCAGAACTTTGATTAACAGTATCCAATGGAAATTCTCCCATTAAGCACCAATGATGAAAACTTCTAAGCAGAGGTGTGACTATATACATTACGAGGCAGAAGGCAAGCTGAGGACAGTTCCACTCAGAATGTTTGCAGGTAGTACAATAATGTGCTTGAATTCATGGACAATTCGGTAATTAGTGTGATTTGATCAACTGGAAGTTTAGAAATGCATAGCATACCTCATGACACAATGACAAATGCTGCTGAGGTATGGGATATACGAAAGAGCTGGAGAAGACTTCATTTTACACAAAGATTAAACAAAGATTACAAAGACAGACAGTCTCTTATTTTGATCTAACAAAACAGGTTTTCCAAAGATTCAGATCTAGCAGACATTATTTGAGCTCTGTGAGGCATTCAGAAGGGATTTAGAGACCGCATGAACAAAGGAGTTATATTTTGCCTGAAAATATTAAAATGGTCACAGCTTTTGGCTTGTGAGCAACCCCTCTTTCCAAGCTACTCAAAATATAACAGGCACAGACCAGTTCTGTGACTAGATGAATGCTAATCTTAAACGGTATATTGGTTTTTATTAACAAAAATATGAAGCACTATAATAAACCATATATCTGGGGTTTGTGATTTGATCCATTTTTCATCAGTCTTGTGAAAACGCAACGCATACTCTTCACACAGAATATAATAATTAAAATAGTTTACAAAGTGTTATTCCATCAGGAAACCACTTAAATGCACAATATTTGTTGATATGGTTACAGTCTCAGAATAGCAAGATTAATTCAATCCGTAATATCTATTTAATAGGAAAAAGATCCAAGAGAAGGATGGCCAATGAAATGTCTTTATTTCACGACTGTGCGTCAACTCCATACATTTTCCCCCAATCACATTTTTCAGACTACACTCCCAGCCAGGCAGCAGTGCA